TCTCACTTTCTAAAGTGCAAACCCATTGTCATCTTCGTGAGTCCAGCTGAGAGAGAGCCAGCTGCAGATCTGCCTCCTCCAGGAAGCTCTCCCAGCACTAACAGAACTGCTGGAGTTGGTTTTCTTCCTTCCAGATGGTCCCCAAGACAGACGTCCAAGTTATCAGAGGGGTGCAGAGCCTTCTCCTCCCAAGCCCCGCCCGCTCACCGCCCACCACCAGGCGAGAGTCCTGTAGAGCAGCCGGAGAAGGCAGGCTTCCTGGCTCAGGACGGGGGTTCCTCTTGCAGTGTGAGCGGGCCCACTGCCCAGGGCCTCGGGTGTTGTGCTCCTGGGGGGGCAGCTGCAGCGGGTAGAAGGAGGCTCCTATGGAGGGCCGCTGTCGCCTTGCCCTGGCAGCTTCTGGGCGGTGACACTGTTGGACGCGGGTTGCTGGTCCCCAAGCTGGTGGCTGCTCCTCCTGCCGCAGAGGTGGGAGGTGGGGGCAGTCGGGCACCAGGCCCGTCCCTCTGGTGGCCAGGTACCCTGGCACCGGCCCTCACCCTTGTTCTGGCGTTGCCGGAACGTGGCTCCTGAGGGAGCTCAGGGCTGGCGGAGCTGCCAGGTGACACCTAGTCTTTTCTTGCTGGCCTCTGCAGCCCGAGGAGGGAGGGACGAGCTGGACCGTGAAGCCAGCCTGCAGTTGAAGCCAAGACTGGCTCCACCAGGGCCCAGCTGGCAGGCTCTTAATCCCCTTGGTCCCCCTGTGAGATGGGGCAGTGGCACCCACAGTCCGTCCAGTGGGGTTCATGGTGATCAGGGTGCAAGGCTGTCCCTCCCTGGGTGGCAGAGAGGGTCCCAGCATGGTCTCGTCCTTAAGTTTGTCCTTCCAGGGATCGAGTGTGTAGAGAGAGCACAGCCTGGCTCGGCCGCATGCACGCAGGCGCACGTGTGCGTGGGATGCAGGCAGACACGCCCGCCTTCTTCGGCAGCAGGAGGCTCGTCACTTCCTCCGTGCCTGTGGCAGTCCTGCCAGGAAGGTGCTGGGGTGGGGGTGGGGGTGCGTCGCCAGGAGCGGAGCTGAGGGATAAACAGGATCCCCAGCGGGTGAACAACGGACCCCGGGCGCAGGCAGCGCAGTCCCTTGGCTGAGCTCCCTTCTACAGTTGTGCTGGTCTCTCTAATTGTGACGCAGAGTTGGAGATGGGGTGTCCTGCAGCCCTGGGTCTTCATTGGCTGTGGAGACCCAGGACCCAAGTCAGTCAAAGTGGTTGTCACCGTGCAGGCCGCCAGGATGCCCGGGAGTTGAGCAGGTGGGAAGGCCTCTGTCCGGGCTGGCGGCTCCCAGGGTCCTGCCGACACTGCCCGTGCAGCTGAGCTCGGCCCCTCTCATCCCTTGTGTAGACACACAGGGCTGGGGTCCCAGGGTGGATGGGGCAGCTGGCCCTAGGACTGGAGGGGTGGCAGGGATGTCCAGTTCTGTGACATCTTAGCAAGAGGGTCACTGCCTGCCACTCCTGAGCTTGTGAGCGTCTCTGGCTGAGACCCCCGCCCTCCCTGACCCTCCCTCGGCGTGTGCGGTGGAGGAGGCAGGGAGCCCTCATGGCGCTGGGCCCACGGACACTGGGGGGGGTGCGGGCAGACACAGTCGAGGCGACGGCAGCGTGTGGAGGGGTGTTGGTCTCACCTGTAGAGCACAGGTCGGAGTTTGGAGAGGCTGCTGGTCGTTGGCCGTGTTGTGGGGTCTGTGTCCCGGCTGCAGGAAAGTGGCCTCGTGCAGGGGCCTCTCTGTGGCCCTCCAGCGTCACAGCAGGCATGAGCAAGGCCCCGTGGCCCTGGGGGCAGCTGCACGGTCTGTTCAGGGAGGCCTCCCTCCTAGCCTGGCACTTCTTTGGTGCTGGTGACGAGAGACACTCCCTTTTTCTTGGAAAGTAGACAAGGCCGCCTCTTCCCGTCCCGCACGTGCTGTGGGATGTCGGCTCCCTCCCAGCAGAGTCCCACGGAAGACTCCGTGGTGTGGTGGACAACGGAGCCCTGGGCCCTCTTGGGCAGGGCTTCTGCCTCTGTTGGTGCCCGCGTCCCCTCCCAGGGCCCCGCAGGTGCCTGTGCGCTGTGTGTGGAGGGAGGCGCTGCACAGACCCCTGGATGGGCAGCCGGCGGGGTGGGGACACTCACCGGCAGTTGGGGGTGGCTGGGCCCCTCCCAAGGCCTCTGAGGGTGGGTTTGGGCCCTTCATGGGCCTGGGGACGGCATGGCCCGCTGGGTCCAAGAGCCTCTGCGTGCGCCCTAGCACAGTGATGCACTCCAGCTCGGGGAGGCGCCCACCGGAGGAGCCTCTCCCACAGAGAAGTTCCTTGCGGAGAGGATCTGCCACCAGGGTCCTCCCTACAAGGTCCTCTCGGACCCATCTCATCACTGGGGCTGCGTTTCTGGGAGATCAGCGATCTGCAGGCGGGGGCGGGGTGACTGCGCCTTCCTGTGGAAGCCCGCCCTCCGGCCTGGAGCCAGCATCCGGGAGGAGCTGGAAGCAAGAGTGGCCCTTTGGCCAGGGCGGGAGGGGCTCCCTGGGACACCAGCCCCACAGTCCTCACGCGTCTGCCGCCGCCTCCAGGCCGGCGAGGCGGTGGCTGTGTGACCAGGCCGTGCAGCCCAGGTGGCCTGGCTGGCACCCCGCGCTCCTGCCCTGCCCCCTCACTCGCACATTCCTGGTGCGTGAGCTCAGCGCTGCTCTGAGGAAGTGAAACCTGGCACTGTCCCGTGTGTCACTGGGAGGGCGTGGGCGTATGCCACGGTGACCCCCTGGTTGGCCTGGGCCTCTGCTGGTCCCCTTCCTGCTGTCCATCAGGATATTTGGGGCTGGAGGGAGCGAGCTGTGGAGCCTCCTCTTCTGCCACGGGGAGGGGCTGCGCTCAGACACCACCCTCGCCAGTGTCAGCCGTGTACCCGTCACGGCAGCTAGAAACCGTATACGGACAGGGCGCATGCGCGTACACGCCTGACGCTCCGGCGGCGGGGACCCAGCTGCCCTTGCAGGTTCAGACCCCGTTCTGTTCCGAGGACACGGCCACCCTCCAGCCTTGCTCCGCCCTGACGCGGAGCTGCGCCGTCCCCGCCGCCCACCCTCTGACCACAGCCCCTCGCCGTCTCCCCCGGACGCAGCGCCCTCATTAGCTGCTGCCTGTTAGGTGACGTCCCCAACCCCACTCCCAGGTGCTCCTTGGATTGGATGCATTCAGACTTGGGTTCCCCACTGCAGTGTCCCTAAAACCACTGACCTTCGTCCTGCCCTCTACCCCCTCCCGCCCCCAGCCCCACATTGCCGGGGCCGGCCCTCTGCCCTGCCTTCACTCAGGTTTCTGAGCAGCTCCGAGGGGTCTATGGCTGCGTGGTCTTGGCTACAATCTGGGCTCCCCTGGGGCAGCTGGAGGATATGTTTCCAAGAAGCAAACGTACTTGGGTTGACTCTCGGCTTCCCCGTCCTGCCCAGGAAAGCGGGCGTCCCCACCATGGGCTGTTCCTGCACCTTCCTGTCTGTTCTCACCTGCCGCCTCCCTTTATCCTGCTCCTGGCGTCCTGCTCCACACCAGCAGACCTTGTCGCAGGGCCTTGGCTCTGCTCCCGCCTGTGGCTCTCCGCTCTCAGCCACAGTCCTGTCTCCCCTGTGCTTCCACTCGACTGAGAGCCCCCTTCCCCGTCTGTGAGGGAGCCGTGTCCTGCTGTCTTGTTCTGCCGCCCAGTGTGTGGTGTGGGACGTTAGCCCCATGGGGACGGAACTTTGACGAGGTGACTGCTGCGTCCCCGTTGTTCCTCAGCCCGGTGCAGCACCCGGCAGGTGCCCTTACCCTTGCTTCATCCAGGAGGGAAGGAGTACTTGTCCCGTGGACCCCGGCACTTGTTGGTCGTATTTCCTTCCCAGGTTCCCTGCACAGCGTGGAGGGGTGTGGCCCAGCCCTGGCAGTGAGCCCCTTGGCCCTGGGTCTCCATTCTGCTCTGTGCTGACGCCCCGGCCGCACGGCAGGATGGGCGATGGAAAACACAAGTATGGGGTTTTCTGGAGCCCGCACCTCATAGCCCTTTTCGGAACCTGCGTTGGTCCCACTGGCCTAGAGGAAGGAGCTGGGGACAGAAAGGTGTCCCGTGGGCCAGGCTGGGAGGGTGAGGGCGCCACTGTGTTCACACGGAAGCACCTGGGGCTGCGGCGGTCTGCCCACGGGGCCAGGCCGCTTCCCCTGCCCGCGCTGTTTCTCCCTTGTCCTCAGGAAAGACCAGACATGTATCACAAGGAGGAACTGAAGATGTGGGATGGGGCCACGGCCTTTCCTTAAAAGTTCTTGCAGTGTCCTCACCGGTGGAAGTTGGCAGCCAGCTGTCAGGGCCCGTTACCCAGGGGAGCTCTCATTTGGCCGTTGTTTGCGTACGCCTGTTTTTATGCCTTGTAATTAAAACATTCATTTGGCCTTCGCAGTGAAAACCTAATTCGTTCGGTCTGAGAGCTGGTGGTGTTGGCACGAGGCTCGAGTCCGTTGGGTGCGCGGACGGAGCCTGTTGGGTCCTTCCTGGCGCTGTGTTTGCCGTCAGCCTTTCATCAGAGCTGGTGCTTGGTAATTGATGTGTTGAGTGAGGATCCTGGTGGGAGGGGGCTCCAGGCCGGAGGAGCCTTTTGTGTGCGGCCTGCGGGGGGCCCTCCTCGCTGACTCAGCCCTGCCAGACGGGGTGGCGGCCCCTCTGCGCAGCGTGTCTGAGCCCGGCTGTGTGCCGGGTGCTGCCCACGAGGCCGGCGTGTGCTCGCTTGTGTCATCCGCGGGCCCGATGCAGTGGGGTCTGCTCCTACCCCGCTGTGCAGATGTGCAGGCTGAGGCCCGGGGCCTTCACCAAGGACACAGCTGGGACTGGACTGGGGCCTGACCATGTCTTCGTGGTCTCCGCCCTGGGCGTAGCACCTGCGGGATTCTCCCCTCACGGTTCTGACGCCCGGAGCTGCCCGGTGGCCCGTGCCCCTCATGCTATTCTCTTCTCTGTTTCAGACCATCATGGAGCAGTTCAACCCCAGCCTCCGGAACTTCATCGCCATGGGGAAGAACTACGAGAAGGCGCTGGCAGGTGAGGCCCGGGGCGGGTGGGGGCTGTCTCTATGGATGTGCAGCTCCCGGGCCTGATGGGAAGGGAAGGTGTTCCCGAAACACGACTTGGCGGAGGGAGGGCGGAGGCTCCTCACCCCGGAGGCCCGCGACGCTCAGTGCGCACTGTGCGCTGGGGCCGGGAAGTGCCGGGGCGGCTTCAGCCCTGGAGATGGGGGCCGGGGGTCGGCCCTCGTGGCTCAGGCCAATGATGGGTCCTCTCTGGAAGGCGTCGTCCCAGGACATGGCTCGCCTCCCTGGGCTTCCTCCCCGAGCGGAGTAATTTTATTCCCAGCCATGTAGTGTCGATGTCCTTGTGGTGAATCCGTCAGGGCCTGGCTGGGGGACGGGCTCACATGCCCTTGTCCCTGGACGCGACGCACAGGCCCCCACCTGGGCTCCCCACGAGGTCCTGTGGGGACTGTGGGTGGAGCCGGCTGTATCCTGCCCCTGTCTGTTTTCCTGGACTGATGGGACAAAGCCCACTGGCCACATCACACTGTCCCTCAGCTGCCCTCCGTCTCCCCAGGCCAGCCAGGCCTCTGCCCACTTGGCTTGCCCTCCGTCTGTTCCAAGGAACCCACCCGTCCGGGTGGTGGACAGCTCCAGCCGCTGGGGCTTGGAGCCCACACGCGCTCTCAGGCTGCAGAGAAATTGTGTGCTTCATTGAAAGCCGCCTGAATAGAGTTTGATCAACTGCCCAGTTGTAAGCCCCTAACCGGGTTCTGGAGAAAACAGATTAGAAATTGTAATTATGCTTCTGGCAGGTGCTCCTCGTGGCCCTGCTCCAGAGGGGCTCCGGCTTCCCTTCAGCCTGAGGGCACTGGGGGCTCCTCTGATGAAGGGGTGAGTGGGCACACCTGGAGTCTCGAAGTGTCCACATCCCGAGGATAGCTCTGCCACAGGCAGCAGGCACCAGAGCCTGGTCCTGGGAATCCGCAGGCCCGGAGCTTTGGTCCGAGTCCTGCGCGAAGTCAGGTTTGCCTCTCATTAAAGCAAAAGGCGCCGTGGGGTTGGGGCGAGGCCTTCCGCCCGCTCTGAGCATGTGAGTCACTCCCAGGTACACGTCTCGCTCTGCGACCGGGGGCAGTGACAGAGCCCCCTGCCCAAGCTGGCTGGGGAGTCTCCCTGCCCCCAGGCTTTGCAGGTCTCTCGCCCGGGGCTGGTGTCTGTCTCATGAGAACACTGCGACCACTCCCCGTGGTCGGGGTGGCACCCTGCAGTTTGACTTGAATAGCTCGGGACGTGAGTCGACACTGTGTTCTCACACGGGAAGGGCTCTCACTATGGGACCTGGGGAACACCAACAACAAACAGCTCGGGTCCTGCCTCGTGCGAGCCTGCCGGGCGGGCGCTGGTGCCACAGTCCTGTCACTGCCTTGCCAGGGAAGTAACCGCCCCTCCTCTCCTCCGTCAGGTGTGACGTACGCGGCCAAAGGCTACTTCGATGCGCTCGTGAAGATGGGCGAGCTGGCCAGTGAGAGCCAGGGCTCCAAAGAGCTCGGTAAGACCCCCAGACTGGTGGAGACCCCCAGGGCCTCTGAAGTCGCCAGATGTCCCCAGGTAGATCTGGGACCCTGTCGTGTGTCTGGTCCATTGATTTGGGGTTAGGTTTTCCATGTCCGGTAAGAAGAGACTCCCTGAAGTAGCAGTCACCCTTGCAACTGGCGAGGGCTGTGGGGTGCACACCCTGCTGAAAGAGGGGTACCCCGGGTGGCTCAGGGTCCCCTGAGGAACACAGTTTGGGGACGAGGAGACAGATCTGTGTTTACAGGGATTTGTGGCAAAGCCTGAATGGCCGGTGCAGGGACCGTGTGAAAAGATGGACTCAAATGATGGCATTTAGTGACGTTGGGGAGGCGTCCCTGGTATGAAAACAAGGAGCCAGTTTTGTAAGAATACCAGCGAGGAACGTGGCTGCCACACGCAACTCGGGGACCTCACTGGGCTGAGAGGAGGGAGCAGGCCAGACACCCCACGTGGGTCGGGCTGGACGTGGGCCTTTATTCAGCATCCAGAAAGCCGCGGGTCTGCAGCTCTGTGGCTCTAGAGGAAAACTGGCCTGCTGGGGACACAGAGCTGATCTGCCCTGGGCGGCCCTGTGAGGACTTGGAGGTGGGGGAGCCATGGTGGTCAGGCCTGTAGGCTCAGCCTGGCTGGTGCCCTGTTGGATGTTTGAGGTGAACAGAGGCCTGGATCTTTGGTGATTGGCAGTGGCCATGAACCAGCCTGTTCCTGAGCTCAGAGGCCCTGTGTGGGCCCTGCCCAGCACTCCTGTTGTTCCTACCACAGACCCAGTGAGTGGAATTAGGGGGGCGGGCTGCACCTGCCGTCATGGCAGGATGTCCCTTCACCTCTCTGGGAGCTGCTGGGGGCTCCGGCCTAAATCAAGGAGCTTCTGGTTTGCTTGTGGGTTTTGGAAATCTCTCCAGGGGCTCATTGGGGTCCGTCACCAAATGGGAGTCTCTGTGCATGTCAGCAGGGGTAGCTGGTGAGATGCCAGCCAAAAGGAGACCCCGTTTCCTCTGCTCCCAGCAGTTCTGAGACCAAACGTGGTTTTTCCCACAGTTCAGATCACTTCTCACAACTATACCTGGGGTCAGGACAGACCCACTGGTTGGGGTCCTGCCCTGGGACTGCCCTCACTGCAGAGGCCAGTGTAAGTTATGGGTCTTCTGTGCCCACACTTCTGATTTGGCTACAGTTTGTGTTCCCGCCACCCTGTCCCCAGGTTTGGTAATTTGCTGGAATGGCTCACAGGACTCGGGGCAACGCTTGCTTTGATTATCAGTTTATCATAAAGGCCATGATGCGGGACGCAGTGGGCAGGTCCATGAGGGCGCAGGAGCCTTTGTCCCCGTGGAGCTGGAGTGCACCCCCCATGTGGGTATATCAATCACCCTGAGAGCTATCCAGACCCTGCGGTTTAGGGATTTCCAGGCGCTGCCAGTTGTTAACCCAGCCTTCAGCTCTTCTCTCCCTGGCAGGGTGGAGGTGGGACGGAAAGTTCCTCTTCTAACCCCGGGCGATCTTTCTGGGGATCAGCCTCACCCAGGCTCCCACCCACAGTCACCTCCCTAGAACCGAGGATGCTCCCATCACCCAGAGATAACAGGGATGTAGGATCTGCGTCAGGAGCCAGGGCAGAGATCAGTGTGGCTTTCTTCTTGGTCGCTGTCATGCCAGCCCTGCTCTGGGAGTTAAATTTTTCCTTTTTGTAACGGATTTATTGAGACTTAATTCACATGTACAACTGACCACTGCATAACACAATCTGGTGGTTTCTGGTATGTTCATGGGGCTGGGGACCATCACCACTGTCTAGTTCCTAAACATTTTTACTCACCCCCAAGATGCAAGCTGTCACCGTTAGTAGTCACCCCCACCCCAAAGTACTGATCTGCGGCCTGTCTGGACTTACTGCTTCGGATGTTCCTGCAGTGGAGTGGAGCACTGACCCACTGTGACTGGTCACATCTGACTTCTCTCACTTAAGGTCATGTTTTCAAGGTGCACATGTTGTAGCGCACGTCAGAGCCCCGCTCTTTTCATAGCTGAGTAATATTCCGCCACGTGGACTCCATGGGTTGCTCCCACGTCTTGGCCGGGTTCAGTAGCACTGGGGTCAGCGGTCAGGCACAAGTGTCTGTGTGGACATTTCTTCGTGTGAGCCTGGGATGGGAACCGCCGGTCATGCAGTCGGAGTTGAATTTCTAATAAAGCAGTGCACACACTGGTTTAGAGACGAGCTGCCCCCCCCCCCCAGTCCGGCTGCCCTGCCCGAGGCCCGCTTGTCGGCCCTGTGTGTCATCTGCCTGCGTTTGCTTCCATATGTATAAACAGGTGGGTTTGCACTATTTTTTCTTAATTTTGGACACTGTTTAACGACTCTTACTCTAGAAGATCTGGATTTAGCATTTTTACACTGTCCCTTGCCCCCCCAGTAGAACGGTGACCACTTTCGCTTTAATCAGTGTCTGGTGTAGCATTTGCAAGGTGGTGACGGGAACCCTTTTATCAGCTCAGAGGGACCAGCCTGACCGCCGACGGCGTGATGAGGCGGACATGCCTGTGCACGCCTGCCCGGGTGGGATCGGCACTGTAGCCCCCCGCCCCGTTCCCCTTCCCCCGTGTCCCCCTTCTGTGTCCCCACTCCACATCCCCCGTGCCCGGCAGCCACTGCTGTGCTTTCTGCCCGAGGTCCAGCCTGCACTCGTCCGAGTTCACGTCCGTGAAACCGCAGCATGCGCTGTGCTGTGGGTCTGGCCTCTCTCATCTCGTGATTGTTTTGAAAGCCACCCCTCCAGACCACGTGCTTTTGCGCTGTGTGGACGCGCCGGCGGTTCGTGTGCTCTTCCGTGGACAGACGCTTGAGTTGTTCCCAGTTTGGGGTGTTCCCACGTCTGCGTTTCTCCGTGAACGACTGGTGTCCGGCATCTTTCCGTGTGTCATTTGGTGAAGTACCTGTTTGGATCTTTGCCCCTCCTTCTGTGGTTGGATGTTTGTCTTGTGATTGAGTTGTGGAAGGTCTCTCTGTGTTGTAGGGAGAGATGCTCCATCAGATACGTATTTTGCATATGTTCTCTCCCAGTGTGGTTTGCTTTTCATTTTTGTAATGGTGTGTTTAAAATAGGTACGTTTGATTTTAATGAAGTTCAATTGAGTGATTTTTTTTCCAGAACTATAGCCTGTGGTTTCTGTTACTGTTCGAGAACTTTGGTTTTTTTTTGGAGTTGTTAATTGCCTCACTCTTTCCTTTGCTTAGCTGTCTGTGTACTATTAACTCACTCCCAAAGCTGAGACCAAGCTCTGGGCCCTTCCCTGCTGGCAGCTGCCCCGTTAACGTGGCTGCTCCTCCCCCGGGAGCTTGCCTCCTGGAGCCAGTCCTGCTCTGACCCACCGGGCTGGCGGCTGCGCTGTGCTGTGATGCCCCTTCTCTATACTGGGACCGAGCTTTCTGGGCCTCGGGTCCCGTCTTGCTCCCACAGTAGGGGGATCAACCTTCCTTCTAGTGGCTCTTAAGCAGGAAAGGGGGGAGTACGTTTCTGGGCCCGGGTCTGTCCGCAGGTGCTGCCTTCCCTGGCACTGATGGCTTAGAATTCCAGGTGGGAGGCTGCCTTCCCTGGGACTCAAGGCCTCAGCCCCGCTGTCCTGTGACTCCCAGTTCCTGTCCTCAGTGCCGTTTTGGCTGATTTTTTTTTTTTAAATGTAGGTTTTTTGTTTTCCCTCCTGGGAGCTTTTGAGATCTTTGTCCTTGGGTGGGTATTTTGCAATTTCCAGATATGCTCCTGCATTTGTTGGAGGAGGTCCCGAGGGGGTCTAGAGAAGACAGCATTCCAAGCGTGGGCATGGCTTGTGGCCTCCAGGGTCCAGGGAGAGGTAACCAGGAACTTAAGCTGCGACCCTGACCCCCGGTGAGGACAGCGGGGGCGCCGGAGGGGCAGAGGGCAGGAGCAAGGATAGGACCAGAAAACAGGGTGGGCAGAACGAGGTGCTTTGGCGGAAAGGATCTGGTGGAGGAGCAGCGGGCAGGGACTGGGGCTTCAGGCTGCGGGAAGCTGAGTTCGTGCTGCCTGGCGTCACTCCAGCCGTGCTGCGTGTTCACTGTCGTAGAATATTCCACGAACGCGAGAACTCGTGTCCTCCCTTCTCTCCATCAGCTCTTGGGTTACTCCTGGTGGATTCTGCTCTGCATGGGCTGGCCTGTGGGACTGACACCGAGCCCTGCCGTGGGGTGACTTGGTGCCGTCCTGCGGGACTGCCTCCAGTGTGACGCCCTGGGGCTCTCCCTCTGGGCCCTTCTGTCCCCTCAGGGGACAGCAGTGAGCGGGTGGGCTCACACCCGCTTTCAAGATCATCTTCTCGTGCGCCCGCTGTGTGGGTGAGCCCTGCCCAGCAGGCCACCTGGCCCCCAAGCACTGAGGCACCGGCTCCGCTGAGGAGCCAGGGTCTTCCAGGCCCTTCCAGGCCCTTCCGAGCTGCTCACCTCTGCTCCCTGCCATGAGGCCCTGGTAGAAATTTGAGACCTGGGGCCCTTGGCTGGAGTGTGGAGGGTTTAGGGTTTGGTGTACGTTTTGGCCGCTGTCCCTGTGAAACAGTGTCACTGTGTCACTCTTTGGAAACGTTTTCTTCCCGGATCCTCAGTTCTTTGGTCTCGTTGACTCTGCCTGTGGCCCTGGGCGTCTGTATGCGCTCCCCCTCTCCAGAGGCTGGTCCAGATCCTGGAGGAGGGGGCTGTGCTGATTCCCAAATGACTCAGAGTCTGGGATGTTCGTCCACGGGCTGCTTGGTCTGGGGTGTGGCCTGTGTTTATAGGTGTCTGTTATGTTTGAAAAGAACACATGTTCCCTGACTGTGGTGCGGGGTTCCTAATTGTGTTCAAATCTTCAGCAATTTTACCTCCTCGTTAGTAACTGAAAGAGACGTTCCTTCTACTCTCCAGGGTGGTGGCCCCGTCTTGTTTCTTTGTGGTTTTTGCTTTATGTGTTTTCCGGTTGTGTTATT